TTTCTTCTCTGTGGACTTGAGGAATTCCTCCAGGCTGACGAGCCGGTCTTTGTTTGCGTCCACCTTTTAACACAGGAACGTTGGCTGCGTCAGTTAAAGAAAAACCCAGTAAAGGTGGGAAATGGTGAGATAAATAATTAACAATTTACATTTTTCATGACATGCTCCCTCATCCTCAGCCTTTCTTCCTCCATCTCCATCATATCATCTTCCTCATTCTTTGGGTCGTAGACCTTCTCCAGCTGGAGGAGGGAAATAAACAGATGTTAGCCGCTACTCTGACGCTGTGCATATGTCTGCTGTCAGCTTGTAAAAAAGCCCGCGGGAGCTTAGGAACACAGAGAAGAGCTGCATTTTGAAGGAAATAGAAATCAAACCAGGATTTTAAGCAGTCTCAGGATAAAACTAAATCTAAATCTAAGTTTAATTGAAGCAGTCATGATGTGGATGTAAGCAGGATTGTACACCTCCTTTGTAAAGAGAGCCTCCAGTTCCTGCTCATCCAAAACACCGTCTTCATTTGTATCTAAATGAAACAGAGAATGAATGAGAAGCCTTCTTTCTTTGTTTTTAAAAAAACATATAACATGAAAAAAAGAGAATGGCTAAAAGCGACTTGCTGTCACCCACCATGCAGTTTAAAAAAGGTCTTGGGGTTGAACTCCTGAGGATCCAGTCCATCTGTCTCCTCCCAAACTTCCCTCAGCTGATCAACGCTACCCTGAGTGGGAAAAATATTTTTTAAAAACAGACTGAAAACCTCAGTCATTTCTAATGGTTTCTGATAAAAACGAACACGATGTATCAGTCGCCCACCGGAGCGTTCACTTTAGGATGCTGGCGGTGTTTCTCCTTCAGCTCCTGCATTCTCTTCTCCTCCTTTTCCCTCTTCTCCTGATCCAGGCTCTTCAGGTACTCCCGCCTCTCGTGCTCCTTCAGCATCTCGTAGCGCTTGAACTCCTCGTGTCTCTCTGCGTCGTAGTTCTCCAGGTCCTTAGTGGCCTAGATGAAAAGCCAGAGAGATAAAAGATATTA